TAACTATTTCTTTGTGTAAAATTATCAAATTAGTATTTATTATATTTGTAGGAGATAAAATGATAGCAGAGAGAGAAAAGAAAAGTTAAAGGAAGTAATTTTCTCTTTTTATACTTGGCGAAGCAAAATAGAAAAAAAGAGATAGATAAGGAAAAAAATTGTTAATTTCATATGAAAAATAATAATCTTATTATTTATAAAAAATATTTATGTATGATAAAATTTAATATTTTAACATATTATTTATATAATTTTTATTATATATTACTGCTTGAATAAAAATATAATTGTAAATTATTTTAGCTAATACCAGCAAGAAATATTTTGTCCAATTTTAAATTTTATTTCTTAAATTATTAGATATATTATAAAGTAGATGGAAAATTAGGATGAAAATAGAGGGAGACAACGGCCAGAACCAAAAAAATTCATGAATAAATTTAAAAAATTGAGTTTTCCCTTAAAATTTTAAAGTTTTCTCATATTTAGAGTGAAAAATTGGAGTTAAAAACATTCCACACATATTATTGGATCCGGATCCTCTCAGCATTCTTGTTTCTTAGCGTCCCTCAGCAGCAGAATCTTGTGTGTTGAAACGACAAAAATGCTGACAAGTGACAACGCACACATCACATGAATTTTAAAAATACATGAAAATAATTTGTTATTAAATAATAAACAAAAATACATTTTCAAACATCATGCAGAGATGAAAATATGTCAGGTCCACCCAGATTTTGGCTAATTAAACAAGTCTAGTTTATTTATATAAATAGGCATAGTTATAAGCAAAACCATGGCTATTTTTGTTAAACAGGACAGGTCAAGATTTAAACAAATCTGATTGTAGGCCTTTGCAAGCTTATTTACTCATTTCTTTAAAAAAATAAGTAAATCTAAAAACATAAGTATATAAGCCAGCAGAGGCCTACAATCAGACCTATTTAAATTTTGGTCTATCCTTTTAACAAAAAGAGCCATGATTTAGCTTATAATTAGGTCTATTTATATAAATAGATTAAACTTGTTTAACCAAAATCCGGCCTGACCACATATTTTCCATCCCTACTGATATTTGAAAATGTATTTTTGTTTACTATTTAAAAACAATTATTTACATGCATTTTTAAAAGCCATGTGATGTGTTCATTGTGGATATTTTGATCATTTTAACGTATAGGATTCTGCCGCTGAGAGATGCTGAGAAACAAGGAAGCTAAGAGGATCCGGTTACACATATTATTTGCCTTCAAATTTCCTTTTTCTCCCATTTTTTTCTCCTTATTAGCCAACCAGGAAAAAAAAATTGTCATTTTCTTCTTACTTTTTCCCCAATTTTCTCTCGAGGCAATCACAATGTAAAGGGAATAAAGGGAAAATAGGGGATTTTAATTAATGAGTTGGACTCTTAAAAAGATATAGAAGTGAGGTTAAGAGATTTTAATTGTCTTTTTGGTTCTTTTCTTTTACATCTTCTCTCTATTAAAATTTTATAACTTAATTGTTTATTTTTAAAAAATTAAAAGTATTAAAATTTCTCATTCCTTTTCATCCCCCCAAACTAGATAGAGGATTTTATGAAAAAGATTTCCCAAAGATGCCCCATTTATTAATCATCATTCCCCAATATTAGGACCCGTTTGTCTCAATTTATTTGATAAAAAAATCACCTATTTTTTTAAAAAAATATTTTTAAAATTTTTATTATGTTTTTTTAATTTTTTAAAATAATCTGAATCTTGAAAAACATATTTCTGATTAAAAAAATTATTTTAAGAATTTGCTTTAAATAATTTTTGAAAATAATCTAATATGGTGGATAAAGTTTTTTAAAAAATGCAAGATACATGAAGATATCATAAAATTTTAAAATAATTAAATAATAAAATTATATAAAATAGAAATAAAAACATATAATAAAATTTAAAAATAACTAATTAATAATTAAGTTTTTATTATTGTGACGAAATATAAAATAAAGTTAAATTTTTATAAAATATTTACAAAATAAATATTTCCTATAAAATCTTTAAACTATCAACAAAATTATTTATTTTTTAATTTTAAACAACCAGACTATAAATTACTCATTTGCACGAGAGTTTAAAATCTAATTTGAATGTAAACACGCGTTGTAGAATATGTCTTTTTGATCATTTCCTCTTCATTTATTTATTCATTTTAAAACACGTAACCTAATTTTTATATTATAATAATCAGAAAAGTGTGAAACAGCAATAGTTTGCCGGCTGAAAACCAGCAATATTTTATTCTAATGTGAAATCTCTTCTATATTTTCTTTTACTTCCTTCCAAATGGCATTTATTTATATAAAGTTTTGACCACTGTTGTTGTAAGACATCAACCGTGGAATCGGTCGGACTAACACAGGATATAAAAATAGTTCGGTTTAACTTATTAACTTGTTTTGATTTTTTGGACTATCTTGAACTGCAGAGATTTGACAGATTCAACATTAACCCAAAACCTAAAACGAGTTTATGAAGAATCCTAAACCCTTCAATCTTATATATTGTGCTGTTATATGACATGTTGTGGATTAATCCTCCCACTTGGCAATGAGGAATTTGAATTCAAACATAGAAAAAAGTGAAAATTGAAAGCATCGGGGTATCCAATGATCATTCCAAACACACATACTTCCAAACAGTTGAATTTATTCTCGACCTTATAAAAGAGCCTAATCTAGTGTGATTTTGTAATTTTTTTTTTTGGGGTCAAATTGACTTGGCAATTTAGATCTTAGATATGGCTTGGGATTAGTCTCAGTTCCAAGGAACCTGTGTTTTCCAACACGGTGTACTCTTTTTTTCTCCATTCCTTTAATGCATTTGATTTCTCTCTGAAACTGAGCTCATTGTGCAAACAAAGGAACCTAAATCGCTCTGATTGAGCATTTGCTCTTCTAACATGCTTAGTGCAGGTGCCAGACCCCTTCCCCATCAACCTTCCACGCCAACAATTATATTTCTTTCACACACGCACGCACGCACGCACGCACGTACACAAGAATATTATTTTTTTTATTTATTGCTAATTTAATTGATTGAATCATGAAAAGTGTGATTTATTGGCCCTTTTGATTTGTTGTCTAGTCCAATTTTTAAAATATTGATTTTGTTATCATACTCCCTTTAGTTCTATTTATAAGTCACTTCCAACATTTTCATTAGAACTAAGGAAAATCTTAAACCTCATTAACTTTATTTAAAAATTCAACAAGTTTTTAACTTTATCTTTATTAAATATATCTATTCTAAAAATAAAATACTTTAATATTTAATAATCTTCCTAACATTGAATAGGGGCAAAAGAGTAAAGATAGATATAATAATTATTGAAGTACTCTATAAATAGGATCAAAGTAAATCTTCTCTCTTTACTTTATAAATAGAATCAAAGGAGTATCTAGCTACTATCGATTGGGTCTGCTCCGGTGTTAAAAAAAAAACAATAGTAAATTACATTTTTGACGCCACACTATCATCCGAGTTCAATATGGATTTACATAAATTATTATTTTATATTGCCATTCAACAAACTTTTCTTTCCAATGATTTCGACAACATATATATTATATATCCATATTTTAATATATTAGCTCCGTATTAATTAATTAGAGCAAGTTTGTAGATGGGGACGCACGCTTTCATCTCCCCCCCCCCCCCAAATTTATTAGACTCGTGAGTAGCGTTCGTTTTCTTCTTTCTCTGTGTCGTCCTTTTTGAACAAGTAGAGGTGGACTCGTTAAAATTTTTAACCGAACTTGACATTTTAGTAACTTTTATTTGTTAATTTATGAGGCCTATCACAAATTAATAGGTTTGAAAATGTATAAGTGAACTTGTTGAAATCTTAATTGAACTTGTCAATTTAGTAACTTTTACTTTCTAATCTGCAAAGGATTAGTTGCGAATTGGAAGCTTTGAAAATTCATGAGAAAATTAAGCAACTTTTCTGTTCAATAAAAGTTACTTATCAATTCAAAAGGGAAATTATCAAATCCATGGATTTTCAAATATCAATTTGTAATTGACCCGTTTAAATTAACAAGCAAAATTACTAAAGTGAAAAGTTGAGTTAGGATTTTAATAAGTCTACTTCATGTTGTAACAAATCAACAAAGCTAGGTTCAATATGTAGAACGTGAGTTTTCTTAACAAATTCTCATTAGTAAATTGACAAGTTCACTTGAGCTTTTAACAAATAATTGGTTTGGAAACTAAGTCATTACATGTGCGCATGCTATACCATATAACTAAAAGGTATTGGTGGCTTAGTGATTGCACATTTTCTTTTTTTTGGTGAACCAAGGGATTGGATGATGGGTTCATATATGGTAGCTCATATGTGAACTATTTATTCCCTTTGGTCCTAAAAAATAAGAACTAATTGGGATATATTTATTTCGGTCCTACATATAAGATATCAATTTCCTTTGTTTTTCTCATATTTTTTATTTTTTTGCCCAAACTATCCGTATGGTTAGATTATTGTATGAAGTGTATGTTGGTAATACTCCCAATTTGAATGATTAAAGGAGAGATATTTCAGGAAAATAATACATATTTGTTATAAGTAACAAAATTACCTAAGTTCCTTAATTAATTTATGTGAATTAGTTAATTAGCTCTTATATTTAGGACCGGAAGAAGTATATCATAATTCGATTAGAGGTAAGGAAATTTTTTTTTTTGTTATTTAATAATATAAAGGTAAGCTGATTGATCTCTAAGTACATTTTGGTGTTGATTAACACTTTTAGAAAAAATTGATTATTTACAGTCCAATTTTTTTTTCCGGTCCTGAATCTTGTTGGGAGGATAAGGGGTCGATGTATAATTAATAAAGGAAATAAAAACCTTAATTGATCCATGAAATTATAAAATTAACTTTGAAGCGCTCCTAGAGGTTAAAATTAATAGGCAGTTCTGTAAGTTTTTTTTTTGGTTGTAATAGTAATTTGACATGTATAGAAATAAATCAAGAAATTAAACTCTTCTGTGTTATTCATTGAATGACATGCAAATGGTATTGCATATATAATCACAACAAGGGATACATTATAAGATACTCACTTTATTGTAAACCCTATTATCAATGAAAGTATTGAATACAAACAGAAATAATGGGTATATATAAAATAATCACCGAAACAATTCAAATGGGGTTTATAAGAGAAAGCTCATTAAAATTTACTAGTGGATCACTAGTACACATAAGGAGGAGGAGGAGGAGGAGATTTATAGTAGTAAGGTGGAGGAGAGGGTGATGGCGGAGGTGGAGACTTGTATAGATATGGAGGTGGCAGTGAAAGAGATGGAGGTGGTGGTGATTTATAAACATATGGCGGAGGAGGCGAGGGGGATGGTGGAGGAGGGGACTTGTAGATATAAGGAGGGGGTGGTGAAGGAGATGGTGGAGGCGGGGACTTGTAAATATATGGAGGTGGTGGTGATGGAGATGGGGGTGGTGGAGACTTGTAAACATATGGGGGAGGAGGTGAGGGAGATGGTGGAGGTGGAGATTTGTACACATATGGAGGTGGTGGTGACGGAGATGGTGGAGGTGGAGATTTGTACACATATGGAGGTGGTGGTGACGGAGATGGTGGAGGTGGAGATTTGTAATAATATGGAGGTGGTGGTGATGGAGATGGAGGAAGTGGTGACTTGTATACATATGGAGGTGGTGGTGATGGAGAAGGTGGGGGTGGAGACTTGTAATGATATGGAGGTGGTGATGAGGGAGATGGAGGTGGCGGTGACTTGTACACATACGGAGGGAGGTGGTGAGGGAGATGGAGGAGGAGGCGACTTATAGATGTATGGTGGAGGTGGTGATGGAGATGGTGGAGGAGGAGATTTATAATAATAAGGTGACGGTGGTGATGGAGATGGAGGAGGAGGTGACTTGTACACATATGGCGGAGGCAGTGAAGGAGATGGTGGAGGCGAAGACTTGTAGTAATAAGAAGGTGGTGGTGAGAGAGATGGAGGAGGAGGTGACTTGTACACATACGGCGGAGGTGGAGATTGGTACGCATAAGGGCTATAATCAGCACTAACACTGATAGCAACTAGGCAAAGTGCCGTTGCAAGTGTGAGTTGAGGCCATTGCCTCAACCCCATTGAGCTTTCCATGATCTTCTCTCTCTTGCTACCTCCAACTCTCTCTCTTTCTATGTGTTTAATTTTCTTGACTCAACATGGATTATCCAACCACTTATATAGTTGCAGCTCTTGACCGTGGCTACCCACTTTTATCATACTTTAATGCATTAATTAATCCCTCGCAGTATTTGGTACTTAAAAATTTGAACCGGTTTCATCAATATGAGGCAGCCGCCTTACATTGTTTTATTGAAATTCCTTTAATATTGTTTATAATATTTAAAATTAAGACTCTGCTTCAGATTGTGTTAGTTCTTTCCAACGATGTGGGTTATGGAAAAAGTCAATGGGAAGAGTTGGCGAGGACAAACATGGATGAATGAGAGAAAAAATTGCACAAAAAAGCGCGTGTTGGAGAATACGTCTTTTGAAATTTTCCTCATCATTTATTTATTTATTTTAAAAGGTAACCTAATTAAAACAAATTAATTGAAATTTTAATATTTTTAAAAATTATATATCTTTCTTAAAACAACTTTATTAAATATTCTATATAAAATGTAATGATAACTGAAATTCTAATAAACATTTTTTAAAAGGAATAATGAATGAATTAGGGATATAGTCATAAAAAAATTATCAACACTATTCAATATATCTTATATTATATTTTGGATGAAGCATAGCTAGTTTCTAGAAAATGTCATATTTATAGTTGAAAGGAAGTATATTATAATAATTAGGAAAGTGTGAAACAACAATATAATAGTTTTTGTTTTTCGCCAAGTGAAGCAACAATAGTTTTTTGGCAAGAAAAACAGCAATGATTATTCTCTTGTGAAATCTCTTCTATGTAATTTTCTTATTCTACTTTTTCCAATATGGCTTATGGTTTTGTCAACTACGGCTACTTGTCCAAATAGCAGCACCACCTTCCCTGCTTAAAAGAAATCTGAGTTTGAACTCAATATTGATATGCTTGAATGCGTGTATGTGTATTTGAAGAAGGGTTAGATTATGGGTAAATAAAATTGTCAAAAAATTGGGATATATTTTTAGATTATACATACAACCACCCCCAATTCTAATTATAAGTTACAATAATGAACTAATTTTATGATTTTTAAGGATTGGTAGTTGATACCTTAAATTTCCTTTAAAATGTGTGATTTTTGAATTTTATCATTCACTGAAATTAATAATGATAACAAAATATATAAAAATTAAAAGCATGCCAACAAATCGGTAAGGTTGGTGAAAAAAATTTAAGTACTATTTTGTCCTATATTTAGAACTGTGTAAAAGAATGTGTGTGTGTGAGTGGGGGGATCAACTTGATGGCAAAAGAGAAATAAATTATAAGTTGAGCTTATATCAAGTTTATCATCATATGCCTCCCCACAATCATCCCCGTTCAATATGGATTTTTTAAATTGTCATCAACAAACTTTTCTTTCCAATGATTTCAGCAACATATATATTATATCCTTATAATACTTTATATAATATATTAACTTTGTACACCAATAGGGTTGAGTCTAACAAAAAAGACTAGTCCTTCAAAACGCGACGAGTCAAAGTCTGAATCCCTATTGAGAGAAGTACCCAATCTTGCCTCGAACAGGATTACCTATGTGCAATAATATATATATATATATATATATTATAGCTTTGTATTAATTATTAGAGCAAGTTTTGCTGATGAGGACACCTTCTTTCTTTGTTTTTTTTTTTTGGTTTATTATAAGCATGGGAGGGGCTTGTCTTTTTAACCAATCTGTGTTGATCATAATGAAAGAAGACTTTATGACAATTTAAATACGAGATTTTAAATTAGAATATGCTTGAATGCAGAAATTGTTTTTAAATGAACTTCCCCCAGTTAGCCTTATAATGCAGAGAATGTTGGCCTTCTCTATGTTAATGAAATGTGAAACAAAAACTCGGTCATACTGTTTAGACATTAGATATATATTTTGGCAAATTTAAAAAAGACATTAGACATATTTCAGTTTCGTAGTTACCTTAAACTATTGCTGTTTAAAAGTATATTTGGTGTCGGCACAGGTTTTCGCTGACTGTTTTGTACACGGTGTAGAGACTGTAGACTACTCCTTCAATGACTTATCAAATAATGACATATTAACAAATTTATATACATTAACAAATTTAATTAATACTTTTAAAATTCTAAAACTATATACTTTGTAAAGTACTATAAAGTTCATAAAAGAAGTTGTTTAAGTGCCTATTTGAATTTCAGTTGGGTAAAATAGATTATAAAAAAATTAATTAAAAATAAATTTTAATTATAATTAATTATGTTATAACGCAATCTGTTTGGATATTATTTTTTTAAAATTAATTTTAACAGAATTGAAGATGTTGGATAATTTATTCAAAATTAATTTTAGCTATGTAAATTATCATAAACAACATTTCTTTTCAAAATTAAATTATTATAAATTTGTATCTAATATTTAAAAAGTAAAATATATTATTTAAATTATATATATGATTAATTATAAAAATTTAAATTATATTAATATTAATAAATTTAATTTACATAAATAAATAACTCAATATATCTTAGTTCAAATAAATTTAATAAAAGTGAAAGATTTAATTCTTAAATACCAAACATCAATTTTACAATAACTAATAAAAATAATAATATATAAGTTGATCTCAAATGACATCATGGATATAAGCTATATCTGACGAAATGTTAAGCACTGCTTAGAAATTTTGGCAACATAAAAAATGTAACAATTGATGCAAAATTTCTCTCTCTCTCTAGACCTTTATAATAATCTTTGCAATGATCATCAATTTTAACTTAAATTAAATTTTTTTCTACCAATTAATATTTTATTTAAATTAGTTTTATAACAAGTGCTAAGTGAAAAGTGGTAGTTGATAAGAACTTATACTAGTAACTTTTTTGAGGATCTGAAATTTAAATTTTACTAAGAAAAAAAGAAGAGAAGAGAGTTGATTTTATTTTTATTAAATTTTATACCTTTCTTATAATTTTTCCATATAACTTTGTAACAAAAGACTCAGAAGTTGAATGCTGTGGCGTTGGGAAACTCAAAAAATCAATTTTTTGGATAATTGATGTTTGGGTAATTAATTAGAAAATCAACTTTTTGGGTAAAAAATTGATTATGATCCGTATCCAAACACACACTAATTGTTAGAAGATTGTTTATTATTTAGTTAGGAAATATTAAAGCAAATGATATTTGAAGGAAAAAAAGAGGATAAATTGGTCCATTGACTAAAAAATATCTAATGCCTAGAAAATATGGATCAAATATTTTTTTTAAAATTTGGGAGTGTGAGCAATTCACATTAATATGTAAAGAGTTTATTATTGATATACAAAATATTTAACATTGAAAATTTAAAAATTCATAAGAAAGTTATCATTGATGCATAACGGTATATAATTGATGAAATAATAAATCGACTATAATGTTAAAACATGATAAATGTTAAGCTATTTGTTTGGTTTGATCTTATTATATGAGTTATATCTACAAAAGCCCTAAGAAAAAATTACTCCCACTATTCTATTTTTTATAATGCCATGTTGAGATTAAGAAAAGTAGGGTTAAAATTAGTTTTGCATCGAAATTTCAAAATTACTTATAAGCAAGTTTGAAAATAATAAGTCGTTTCCCACCATAACCATAAAGAGATGGTTAGATGTGGAGTTACATTTTTGTAAATGAGTCGCATGTGTTAGATTAAATTTTATAAAAAGTCTTGCATTAAATAAAAGGAAGAATCTTATAAATAAAGCTAAAAGAAGTACTCTCTTTGTTTCTATATATAAGAGAAAAAATTGTATCATACAATTTAAAAAAGTTAGTTAACCATAATAATTATATCTGAAAATAAAAAAATTAGACTAAAATGCCTTATGTTAATTAAGATAAGCATTGCATTAATTTTTTCTCATTAATATAAATTATGAGGGGTGATTTAAAAAATATATAATAAATTTTTATTGAAATATGTGATTTTATTTATATAAAAAATAACTAAAAAGTTATAATTTTTTTTTACAAATAGAAACGGAGTCGAGTAGTAATGCTTTAGACATGGTCGCGTGGGTAAGTTTTGAGGTCTTAAGGAAAAATTATTATAGATGTCTAATATTAAGTAATGTAACTCATAAATATGCATATTATTTTTTATGTTTGACAGATACAAAATTATTTATCAATGTTTTGTGATGAAATAATCCTAACATTTTATTCTTAATAAACAATACACTTAATTCATTCAATTTATATTTTAATATAGTCAGTCTTTGATAAAATTTAGATAATTTTAAAATTAAATACAAAAAAGCATTACTTATATTCAATATTAAAAAAATCTTTGAACAAACGTGAGATTGTATAACTAAAAATTTCACTACTAGAAGAAGAAAAAAGAATTTGCTAGCATTTTTAATTTTAATTTCGTGGTATTTACCAAAAGGAAAAATCACCATGAAGTACCTCACAACCATTCAAAATACCCAAAGGTCCTACCAAATCCATAAATACATGTCAAGTCTCTAGAAATTTAAGGGTGAATAAGAATGAAATGACAATGACCAATTTACCTTTTGGAGTTAAAAGAAGAAGAAGATGAAAGAGAGCCATTTCGTGCACATGTCACTAGTTGATACCTCACTTGTCAATAACCTTTGCCCTATGGTCAATGATTGTTGTCAATAGAGTCTTATGACTTGTTTAGTTTTAAATGAAAGTATTACAACTAATAAATTCTCATTTGTTATTGGCCGATACCTCACTTATCATAGCCTTTATCATGCCGTTAATGAACATTGTTAAGTTGTCAATAGAGTGTCTTATAACTTGTTCAATTTTAAAGGAAGTTATTGCACCTTATCATTGTCACTTGTCATTGGCTAATGCCTCTCTTGTCATCAATATTTGCCATGTGGTCATCAATATATGTTGTCAATTTTTTAACAACGTGTCTTATAACTTGTT